CCCCTCCAGAGGGACCTGGACAGGCTCGACAGCCGAGCAGAGAGGGACCTAACAAAGTTGCTCAGGACAAAGCCTCTAGAAGAGCTCAAAGCTTTGCAATTGCTAGGCAAGAATAGTTGTTTTGGTAAGGGGTCATGTGGTGATGTCCAGTCAGGGGAACCACTCAATCTCTGTAAGTTACAGAGCCAGTTCCTTAACGGTGTAAAGAAAGTCTTTGAGGCAAACTGCAAATTCAGAAACTTCTCCTAATATGAAGTTGGATTTTCACAATTTCCTGGCATGCTGGATGAAGCATAGGGATTCCAAAAGGGATGTGAAAGCAAGCCAATAAATCTTCTTTTAGAGTTCACACGTGTTTCCTGCTTGTTCCTTGAAGAACTTGCCAAACAATGTTACTTTTGAAATCCATTCAAAGACCTGATAGGAAAAAATATTGGCCAAAAGTGTTAGCCTGTGTTTCTGAATAGGAACATGTTTCTTGTGTCAATTCAAGATTTGTACCAGGGTTTGGGGATTTTGGTGTGGATGCTTTCAATGTAAGTTGCTTCTTTGCAGGACTTTGAATAATTAGACTTTGAATAATTAGATCATGCACCAGAGACAACATTTTACTGTGTCCTGCTGTCCAGTGCTGAAAAGGGTTGAGGAAGAGTCGGTGGCTGTGTGTCGATGCATAACGTGCGGGAGAGGCACAGGAGCACTTCCCAGGGCCTGGAGAAGCAAACGGGTTCCTGGTGCTGAGGACAAAGTGTCCACAGCTCAGGACTGCATGGCTGAGCTCTTCTGGCTCCTTCTGCTTCAATGCCTTGCCGAGACACAGGTTCCCTGCAGAGCCCCGGGTGCAGCTTCCCAACGCTCCCCTCTTCCTCCGCCTCCACCCTGCCTCCTGGGTAAAGGCATTCCCTGGCATTGCACCTGCTGTGCCTCCCTCCTAGTTCAGTGAAGGCATTGTTTTCCACCCAGGGGGGCTCTCCCCTGGAGACAGGAACATGGATGAACTCCCGGTGCCCCAGCATCAGGCAGGTGCAGGGTATCTCTGCTTGTCAGCCCCTGCCCTGTTTCCCTGGGGTCCCACTGACTGTTCTAGCAGTCAATGATCTGGACTTTGCAGGAGCGTGTTTGCAAAGGCGTGAATGCGAAAACTCTACAAGAACGGTTTGTGTGTGTCCCGTCTTGACTTTTTTCAATATAGTTGCTAGAAGGAAAGCATGGACAAAACTGGCAAAGTTCTTTAATGTGGGAAAAGCAATTGACTCCTGAGCTGAGCACTGTTGCAAGCTCTCCAGTCAGATACAAGGTAATCTTTCATTGAATTTCCCGGGTTTCCATAGAGTCAGTGTAAAGGATGAGCTTTCTAAGGAGCTTAATAGTAATTTTTCCGCTTAATAGGAAATGTCAAATTCATGAGATCGTTAGATGACAGGAGAATTGAGGTCGGGAGGCAGCTGCAGTGGTCCCCAGCTTTATCTCCTGTTCCCAACAGTGATCAGCACGGGCATGAAATCAGGTTCATCTCAGTTTACTGCAGAGAGGTCTTGAGGAAAACGTCGCTTCACCAAGAGCAGGTTTGGAATCTGTGCAGTGCAAGAGACCCTGCACAAGCTCTCTGGGCAACAGACTGCCAGGAGCAGGAGCCCTGGCGTGGCCGTGCCTGAACAGCACCTTTGTGCCTACAGTGCCACCCTTGATGGCTGCCCTGGGGCCTGGGCTTGGACCCTGCACTTGCTGCAGGAGTCTCTGGCCTGGTTCCGTGCTGACCAAAGGCTTGGAACCATCTCAGAACCTCGGTTCCCAAGGGGGTGGCCTCAAGTGGTTGCCGGGCATGTGAAGCCATGGCTGCCTCAATCTTGGGAGCAAGATGCTGATGTCAGAGTGGCCATTGTGACACGTGCGACCAAAGCCCCAAAAGGGAAGGCTGGGCTCAGGCCGTGTGTCAGTGCGACCTGGCAACGGGAGGAGAAGGTAAGGCAGGGAAGCAGCTGCCCAGGGACCAGAGGGGCCCCACACCTCGGGGCTCTGGGCCTGTGCTGCAGGCTCACCTGCCTCTCCCTTCCCAGAATCAGCGCAGGAACATCCAGAGGAGACCGCGGTGTTCCTGAACGCGACGACGGGAGCAGAAGGCGGACAGGAGCAGGGCTCACGCAGGGCTGACCAGGGAGTAGCACCCTCGTAGCTCTGGGCCTGTTCTCCAAACTCCCATCACTCTTCTCTCTCCCACAGAGAGACAGGACCAGCACCTGGCGGAGGCAGCGGCGTTCCTGGACAGGGATTCGGCGCTGACAGCCGCCATGTGCGACAGGGAGCAGGAGGGCCCTGATGGCAGGGAGCCAGGTGAGGGCAAAGCAGCCCTCCCACAGCCTGGCCCAGGGGCTGTCAGGGTGGCCAGCGTGGGGCCCAGAGCAGAGGCCGGGGGAGGCAGGAGCTGCTCAGCCAGGCCAGGGCTGGCAGCCTCCTTCCTCCTCAAGTGGGGCCCAGCTGGGCCAGGGGGCAGCTGTTGGGAGCCCCGTGCCCGCAATGGCCGCTGCTCTCCAAGGCCTCCAGCCCTGCCCATCAGCCAGGCACGCAGGCAGGGACAGAGCAGCCCTTGGGGTCGATGCTGCGGGCTGAGAGCCCCACAGAGCTGCTCATGCCCGCTGCCATTGGCTCTGTCTCCTGCAGAATGCGTGTTGTGTCACCGTGCAGACGCTGACCCGGACACCTGCGGAAACAGACGGGAGAAATATGGGCTCTGTGCCCACATGTTCTGCCTGGTGAGTGGCTCCGGGCACTCCCTCCCGCATTGCAATGGGCAGTCCCTGCCACCCTGTCTTCATCACCTCTTCCCCTTTTCTGCAGTATTTTGCCACTCTTCTTTTCCGGCAAGAAAAGAAACATGTTGGACTCCTGGGCTATCTTCCTCAAGATATCCAATGTGCAGTCAGGCGGGCGGCACAGAAGGTGAGAGCCTGGCAAAAGAGCAGGGACATTTGTGCCAGGAGAGGTTTGCTAGAGCTTAGCCCAGACCCCCAGCAAGAAAGGCCGGCCATCCAGCCAGCTGTGGGACAAAGTCTGGCTCCCAGCAGCTCCAAAGAGTCCCTGGCACAGGCACTTCCTCCACCAGCTGGCTCTGTGGGCTGAGAGCCAGTAGCAGCCCCATCCCGCTCCCTGCCCGCAGCCCTGGGGCTGCCTGGGGAGGCCCCGAGGCTGCCGCTGATGGGGCTGCCTGGCTCATTCCAGCACTGCTGCGTCTGCGGCCAGAGCGGGGCCACCATCATGTGCTGCGAGGAAGACTGCAACAGATGGTTCCACCTGCCCTGTGCCAAGGAGGGCGGCTGTGTCAATCACTACTTTGCCTCATACAGGTAGCTCCTCTCCCCTTCTAGCCACCCTTGGGGAAGGACCAAGACTTTCTCATTATGCCCGTCCTTTTGCCCCCAGATCCTTCTGCCCTGAGCACCGTCCAGTGCAGATTGTGCAGGTGACTCCAGAGCCGGGCACCGAATGCCCCATCTGCATGGAGCCAGTGGAGGACAGAATGACCTTCACCACCATCGTGTGCCCAACGTGCCAAAGAGCCTGGTTCCACAGGGACTGCCTCCAGGTGGGAGCCATGCCCTCAGGCCTGGGACACAGCAGGTGCTCAGCAGCACCAGCGTCTGGCTCACGCTGCTTCTGTTTGCCCTGCAGGGACAGGCCATGCGTGCTGGTCTTTTCTCCTTCCGCTGCCCCCTCTGCAGAGACCATGAGGTATTCGCTGTCGAAATGTTCATCATGGGAATCCGCATCCCCTTCAGGTTGGTGTCGTTCTGCGGGGCTCACAAGACAGGAGGGTGCAAATGCTGTGCTGTGCCAGGCCCTGCCCCAGCAGTCCAGGCCCTGCCCCATCCAAGGAATCTGGACTTGCGCTTCTCAGGGGACTTGGAAAAGCATTGGAGGAAGAGCAGGGACACCTGCTCCTGTTACGTCCATGCAGTCAGGGCAGCAGAAACACATCAGCTTTTCCTTTCCCCATCAGACTGCCAACATGGGAGGACAACGACGCCTTCGCGGATCTGAGAGTGCGTCACAGCAGGTGCAATGCCAGGGAATGCCTTTACCCAGGAGGCAGGGAGGAGGCAGAGGAAGAGGGGTGAGTTGGGAAGCTGCACCCGGGGCTCTGCAGGGAACCTGTGTCTCAGGAAGGGCTCAAAGCGGAAGGAGCCAGTGGTGCACGGCTGGACAATCCCATGCTGGGACACTTTGTTCTCAGAGCCATCAACCCGTTTGCTTCCGCAGGCCCTGGGAGCTGCTCCTGTGCTCCTCCTGTGCTGCCGAGGGCACCCACAGCTTCCGCAGGCCCTGGGAGCTGCTCCTGTGCTCCTCCTGTGCTGCCGAGGGCACCCACAGGCGCTGCTCTGGCCTGACAGTGAGGAGAACCCGCTGGGAGTGTGACAGCTGTGCTGGTCTCGACACAGGTATGAGGCAAAGCAGGCGGGTGTCCCTGGACTGGGGCCAGTGCCCAGGCTGGGCACAGCAAAGCCCATGGGCTCCTGGAGGGCTGGGGGCAGTGTTCTGGTTGGGCATGGCCTGGGAGGCCTCTGACATTCCTGTTTGGCTTTACAGCCCCCAGGGATGAGCAGCCAGAGCTCAATGACCCCAGCCGGATCAGACAGTCAAGACTGGAGCCTGCTCACGGCCTTTCAGAATCCGAGGCCATCAGGCCGAGCTCCAGCAGCGCAGTGCCATCGGGTCTGGCTCCCCAGTCTCCAACTCCGGGGACCAGCAGCCACAGAAGCCCCCGGCATGCAGTTTCTTCCTTGGCAGACACCGGCAGCGCACACACACCAAGGGCAAGATCCAGCAGCTGGACGGGCCCTGAGGACAGGGTCCATTCCAGACATGCTGGGCCTGACAGCAGGCGAAGGCGCTCTCACCAGCAGAGGCGGGCCTCAGATGGGGCCGTCCGGTCGCGGAGTCGCCGTGACAGGAGCAGTAGGAGAGCATCAAGTGCAGAGAGGCGCAGGCAAAGGGAGACACCGTCGCGGGCTTCCCGCAGACACAGCCGCTCCCGGCAGCAAGCTCATGCCCAGAGTCCACCTGCCCGGTCGAGGAGTTGCCATGACAGGAGCAGCAGGAGAACGTCGAGGGCAGAGAGGCCCAGGCGAAGGGAGACGTCCTCAGGGACGTCCCCGAGACGCAGCCGCTCCTGCGTGCAACGTCGAGCCTCGGATCAACCTGTCCGGTCCAGGAGTCACCAGGACAGGAGCAGGAGGAGAGCAGCAAGTGCTGAGAGGCCCAGGCTCAGGGGGACACCGTCAGGGACGTCGCGCTGGAGCAACCGCTCCCGCCAGCCACGTCGGGCCTCAACTGGGACCTCCAACAGCAGCATGTAGTGTCATCTTTTCTTTCTAGTCCCTCTGTTTGCTGCCGTAAGTGAAGGTGAGAAGGGTCAAAACAGGCACCTCGAGATTTGCAGGTCTGTGGGAAAACCGAATTAGCTCTTGGCATTTCCATGATTCTTGATTTCTATGTTACCATGTATTGTGTAGGGAAAAGTCACTTAAGCACATAGCTGATTAAAAAGGACACTCATTCCTGTCTTTAGACAGATATTTCCCCTCTGCTTACCCTTGAACGTGGATCCTTAATGGCTTGGATACCATGCCATTTAGGGAGACATGACGAGCAAGGTGGCTCTTAGGGAAGCTGTCTTTGAAAAGGACATGTGTTGAGTCGCTATCCTTAAACAATCTCACTTCAGTAAAGCCTTTCTTCAGTAAAGCAGAGGGAGAAAGAAGAGAGTGAGACACTGCTTTAAGTGTCTGAAGAAATCGATTGCGACACTGCTGCTGATTTAAAACACTTGCTTGGACCTTCAAAGATGAAACCGGAAAAGACAGTGGAAATAGGCTGGGACAAAGAGGATGCGCAGGACTCTGCCCCAGACGAACGTCTGGGACCTTTGCCTGAAAACGACAGAACTCAGGAGTCCAGTGCTTTCCAGTCTTCCTTCTTTGGAGACACAGAGGAGTTGGGCATCAAAGAAGGTAACAGCAGAACCCTCCTAACGGAGCCATTTCTAAGGAACGGCTTCTGGCAGGCACTGTAGAGCAATATGGTGTAAAGAAGGTCATAATCCAGAGGATTTTCAGCAGCAGAAGTCAGTACTTCTGCTGAAGCATTTTGATCTTCATTTCTACTTGCCAAGCTTGTGGGAGATTAATGAGAGGTAACTCCTGCTTGCATCTCAGGAATTTTGAAAGGCACGCCTTGAGAAGGCATTGGGATTTTTGCAGAGCGGTGAAAAAGCTTCCCCTAAACTTCTCAAGCAGGGAAAAAGGTGGCACAGCAGTCATACCAAGTTACATGGAAGCCAACAGGATTTTAAGGAAAATGGGTGTTAAGGTAGAGGGAGGAACAAAATCCTCCAACTTGGGAGTTGACCCCAAGCTCCATGAACATTCTGTTAGTTACTGAATTCTATTCCTGGACCTTCAGAAAAGTGAAAGTTTTAGGACACTGGGGTGTCCTAAGCTCAGATAAAATAAGGCCTTATGAAATGCAGATGAAGGAATATTTAATCAAGTCACAGTCAGGTAGGAATGAAAGGAAACCGTGCCAAGTTATCCAAAATATTAAAAAACAACAACACAAAGCAACAAGCCCACCACACTTGTGCTGAATTCAGAAGCTATTCACTGTCTTCTGGATGTGATGCTAAATGTTTAAGAATACATAGGAGATGCCTAGAACAAAGTGGAAAATCCTGGAGCAGAGCTACAGTTCAGAAAATCAGGGAGAAGAAGATTTTGTCCTTCCTAAATCTGTCTTCTCCAGTAAATATTTCATTTGAAAAGAGGAATTTTTCCGGGCAAGCAGAGAAATAATCTGGTTTTGGCTTGCTTTCTGTTTTGGTGCTGGTTTTGCAGAGCCTCACGTACTTGGAACGATAAAACCGGAAAACGTCGGGTGGCAACAGGATTCACATTTCCAAGACATCCCGTCTGGGGCTGCTGATGAGCCGGAGATGTCAGAAATTGAAAAGCACCAAGAAAGAAAGGCAAGTTCCATTTGTATTTGTTGTCTACTTGGCTGTAGTAGTTGGATGCTGTGGGAATATTAATGGCAGCACTGAGAAAATGGGAAACTGACACTGCACACCTCTGAGCAGTGGAAAGTCATCTTGGAAAACCATTGGTGCTGTGTGGAGTCCAGAGTCCCAGCAGCCCATTGGATGTGAAGTTGAATGTGAAGAGAGAGAAGATGAGCACAAGAAATTGACTGGGTTGTTTTGGTTTGGCCAACCCCAAACTGAGTTTTGCCAAAAGGCAAAGACACAGTCAATTTTATTGTAAAAAGTGGGGTTCTTTAATAGAAGGCTTTATTTGCATACTATGGAGTAGAGCTCTTCCATGTACACCATTTCTCTGAGGCACTACAGCTCTAACTTGTGCTCAGGGCATTTGATAGGACCTTTGAGAATGCTAAAACCCCTTTGTACTTGTCTAGGGTTCTTTCTCTACCACGCACAGAAAGTGCTAGAGTTCTCTTCTTCTCCATAGATGATGAACGCCTAAGAGGTACGACACACCTTGTTCAGTCCCCTTTTGTATATTTTTCCCTTTTAAACCCTTACTAGACTTGAGTAAGGAGGAAAAGATGCCTCCTGGTTATGAATGCTCTGTAGTCAAAATTTGCCATCCTTTCTTGTGGTCAAAGTTGTGGTAGAATCCCATGAGACAGTCCTGGTAAAAAATAAAGGCTGAGCAGCTTTCTGTCTTTCCTTTCTTTCAGATAATTGCCTCATAGCTATAGGAACTTGTAGAGCTTAGCAAAAATATAGTCACTAGACAGGTTACTGAGACATTTAGGATCCTTTCAGGTAGGTCTATCACCTTTAACTTTTTCCTGTCTTTCTGGTGTTAATCTGAGGAATGCCGAGTGCTCTTGTCAGTGGCATATGTGCGTGCGGTTCTTCATCCTAATGAATCTGGGGCTTTCTCTTCTGAACCCAATGAATTTTCGATTTAAAAACAAAGACAACAACAACAAAAGAAAACATACACAGCCCCCAAAAATTACACAGGCTGC